ACCTGGCCGAACATTACGTACATCAGATAAACTACTTTTAAAGTCCAAAACTTTTCAACTAGTCTCTTATGGTCAGCGCTCTTTTAGTTATCAAGCAACTGTTTTATGGAATTATCTACCATTTAGTTTAAGATGTTTTACATCTCTATATTCTTTTAAAAGATAGGTTGCCAGGCAACGAAACATACGCCCACAGCAGCTAAATCGTCCGGGCAGTCAACAAGTGTTGTCGCATATTTTTACTTCCTTCGGTAATGAAACATTTATAATACACTAAAATCTAATTAAGAGTAACAACTCATGAAGTAATTATCAGAAAACCATTAGAATTTGTTTGTTTTTTTATAAAGTTCTGCCCCATGCTAACGTTTAGTATACAAAACTTTTAATATCATGGATTTAGCTGTTCATGTCATAAAAATTCATTGAAAATCAATATACTTGTTCGTCTCAAGCTCTTAAACTCTGTGTATCAATCTGAAGTCAAATCTGGCAGTAATTATTGGAAATCGCTGAAAATCAATGGGCTTCTTCGTCTCATGACCTTAAACACTGTGTATAAATTTAAAGTCAATTAACTTTGGCCTTTAGAGCGTCCACAAGATTTTTTGAAGTGATCAAGGGCCATAACTCTTGCAGTAATTATCGAAAATCGCTGAAAATGAATAGACTTCTTTGTCTCAAGACCTTAAACACTGTGTATAAATTTAAAGTCAATCAGATATTAACTTTAGCCTCTAGAGCATCCACAAGGTTTTTCAAAGTGATCAAGGGCCATAACTTTGGCAGTAATTATCTGAAATCACTGAAAATCAATAGGCTTCATCGTCTTAAACACTGTGTATAAATTTAAAGTCAATTTGATATTAACTTTGACCTGTAGAGCGTCCACAAGATTTTTTTAAGTGATCAAGGGCCATAACTCTGGCAGTAATTATCGGAAATCGCTGAAAATCAATAGGCTTCTTCGTCTCATGACCTTAAACACTGTGTATAAATTTAAAGTCAATCGGATATTAACTTTGGCCTGTAGAGCATCCACAAGATTTTTTAAAGTTATCAAGGGCCATAACTCTGGCAGTAATTATCGGAAATCGCTGAAAATCAATAGGCTTCTTCGTCTCATGACCTTAAACACTGTGTATAAATTTAAAGTCAATCGGATATTAACTTTGGCCTGTAGAGCATCCACAAGATTTTTTAAAGTTATCAAGGGCCATAACTCTGGCAGTAATTATCGGAAATCGCTGAAAATCAATAGGCTTCTTCGTCTCATGACCTTAAACACTGTGTATAAATTTAAAGTCAATCGGATATTAACTTTGGTCTTTAGAGCGTCCACAAGATTTTCTTGAAGTGATCAAGGGCCATAACTCTGGCAGTAATTATCGGAAATCGCTGAAAATCAATAGGCTTCTTCGTCTCATGGCCTTAAACACTGTATATAAATTTAAAGTCAATCGGATATTAACTTTAGCCACAAGCAATTGTGGACGCCGGACGGACGGACGGACGGACGGACGGACGCGACGACAATATACGACCACATTTCAATGTGGGCGTATAAAAACAACTTAAAACACATTTATTTAATCAGGCTTTTAACTGACTCTGTATACAATCGTTAACATGTCCATAATCTTGTTGTTTATTTATGATTACATTGTCACTTTGTAAAGGGCCATAATTCAGAAAGTTACAATCTGATATGCGCGAATATCAACAGGAACCAAGATCTTTAGGTTATAAAGATATATCAAAATCGGATAAAAATTGTGAATTCTAGAGGGTCCACAACCTTAATATATATTTACAATATTTGTGTATGAAGGGCGGCCATTTTGTCCGGCAGTTTTGGTCCCAGCTGTCATTAGGGTGTAACGGTGATATATTCAAACGGTTTTTTTTCAATCGGATAAAAATTGTGACCTCTAGGACCACAAGCTAAAAATGTCATTTTTCGTACAATCAAGGACCATAATTCAGGAAGTTACGACATCCGCAAATTTTGAAAGGAACCAAGATCTTTGGGTTATAAACATGTATTTCAAGTTTCATCAAAATTGAATCAAAATTGCGGCGAGATGATTTACCCAATATTACCCAATACCACCTCCTTATCACCACATATTACCCCAACTACAACATAATGATGCATAATGGACAGATCACTTGATTTTTTTTTCAAAAATAGAGAGTTATATCGCGTGAAATGTACTTCAAATGTGATACCAATGTCCGGCTGTTATATTTGCCTCCCTATATCACGCAAAACAAGCAAATAATAACCCAATACTACCATTACTTATCAAGCACTACCAAATACTACTCAATATTATCAAATAACAACCTTATATTGTCAAATAACAGCACATTAGTATAATTACTGCAACTAATATTTGATAATTTGCAGTTATCTCCCTTTTCAACCGATAAATAAATTTTAGATTGCTATTTAGATTAATCACCTTCTTTAGCTTTGCCGTTGGGTTTTCAAGACGATAAACTATTTCAACCCCTCCATGGGTATCGTCAAGTGGTGGCTATAAAAAAATTTATTACAGATCAGATGTCCCGGACATAGTTATTGTTTTCATTGAATTAACACGAGGCCATATTATTCAATATTACACTTTAAAGCATATTTTTATCAACACATATACACAAGAATAGACAAATATTACTTGTTAAAAGAATATCAATATATAAAATAACATATAAAAGTTTCCCCTCGTATATAATTCTAACGGACTTAAAAATTAATCAACGGGATTAAGATTGTTGATTGGGTAATCAGGTTTGGTTTTGTTTGATCATCAAAGAAATCGACAGAGATGTAAATGTTTAAGCAAATTAGTGAAAGGGAGACTTTACATCAAAATTGTTTATGGCCATCTTATATAATAATATAGTAGTTAGCGCTTTTTGATTTAAGGATATATAATGATTAAAATATACACAACAAAATACTCTTTTTTCTTGTTTTAACTTCGTTGCTTTGGAAACCAACTGCAATGAAATGAAATGGAGTTTAACGTACTGCAAAGCCAAAGAATATGATTAACCTGAGTAGTAATGAAATATCTAATTATCAATTGTAAAGGGAAATAACTGGGTAAACATTTAAATTTTCTGCAAAATATCGAATAGTCATTGCAGTAATTACACTAATGTGCTGTTATTTGACAATATAAAGTTGTTATTTACTCATATTGGGTTGTATTTGATGAGAATTTAGTTGTATTAGGTTATTATTTGCTTGTTTTGGGTGATATAAGGAGGCAAATGGAACAGCCAAACATCAGCATCACATTTGAAGTACATTTTCCATGATATAACTCTCTACAACCTTGATATACAATATATTTACAATATTTGCGTACGAGGGGTGGCCATTTTGTCCAGCAATTTTGATCCGATTTTCTTGAAATTCTAACTCAACCATCATTAGGGCGTAACGGTGATATATGCAAACGTTTTTTTTAAAATCGGATAAAAATTTTGAACTCTTGAGGGACCACAAGCTAAAAACGTGATTTTCTGTACAATCAAGGGCCATAATTCAGAAAGTTACTATCCGATATGCTCAAATTTTGAAGGGAACCAAGATCTGTGGGTTATAAACATGTATTTTAAGTTTCATCAAAATCGGGTCAAAAGTATGACCTCTAGAGTGTCAACAACATATACCACATATTTTTACACTATTTTGCTTACGAGGGGCAGCCATTTTGTCCGGCAATTTCGGTCCGATTTTCACGAAATTCAAACTCTAAAAACGTGATTTTTCATTCAATCAGGGGCCATAATCCAGGAAGTTACAGTCTGATATGCGCAAATATCGACAGGAACCGATAGCCTTGGGTTATAAACATATATTTCAAGTTTCATCAAAATCAGATAAAATTTGTGACCTCACATAATTTTTCGTTCAATCATGGGCCATAATCCAGGAAGTTACAGTCCGATATGCACAAATATCGACGATAGCGTTGGGTTATAAACATATATTTCAAGTTTCATCAAAATCTGATAACAATTGTGACCTCTAGAAGATCCACAAACTAAAAACGTGATTTTTTGTACAATCAGGGGCCATAATCCATGAAGTCAGTCCTTCAAGTTTACGAAATAGTGCGGGAGCCATAAAAAAGCTCCCGCTAATTTAAAAATTGCGAAAAAAGCTCCCATAAAAATAGTCTTCTTAATTATATTGCAAAAGTAATTCTACGTTGTATTTATATACTTTAGTTTTGTCTCATATTCTCTTTATTACGTCATTTTAAAATGTCGCATATTTGACAGTTATGACCATCTCCAGACATATTGATAGCGATAATCAACGCATTGCCAATGAGAAAGCCGTACATGAAAACATTTTAAACAACATAATGTTACTATTAGACGTACATCATTCTGAAATTCCCGTGGATATTCTCCATCAACATCCGGCGACATATTAGGCTGTCAAGTAACATCATATTCTATTTGGGAGATAGACCTATATTTTAAGTTTCCACAAAATCGAATAAAAATTGTGACCTGTAGAGTGTCCACAAACAAATTGTGGACGGATGGACGAGGGCGACGACAAAGCGATCCATCTTGCAAACAAATGATCACATAAAATTTATTCAACCATTTTATTGTTCACCTAAATCAGAAAGTTGGTGTCGGATTAAAAAAACAGCAGTATTTATTGTTTTATTTCGGAGGATGAAAAGGTCTTTGGTCATTTGGTGTAGTATTAACAATGAATGTTAAAAGATATGACCGTAATTGGGTAAGGCTAGCCTATATGGGCCCTAGATACATTTGGTTCTTTCACATTTTCTTGTCAGAATTTGGCTGGCTACCAACAGACAGGTTAGTAAACATTCTGACAAGTTAATAAATGTTATCTTTATCAGCTGAATACTTTGAGTTCACAATTTGAATCTATCATGGCTTCCGATGACAATTATTGCATATAAAGTTGAAATAAGCAATTGAAAATTCACTTGTAACATTCTAGTTTTAATGTCTACAGTTTATTATTTCACAGTTTTGTACATCAAATCGATTCCTTTGGATTAAATCTGACTAGTGCGATAGGATTACTAATTGAAATTTTTGGAGTGCTCTGAACTGGTACAGTGGACAATTCTTACTGAATTGTATTTTTCTTTCCATTTTTATAGAATAGAAAACCCAGAGGCAGACATAAAATTATTTCTTGGTAAAATCTGGAACACAAGAGCTATCTTTGTCTACGGAGACACACATTTTTGTGAGCGGTTTAATTCAAAATATCAATAGTATAAAGATCATCTGATTTGTAGCACTCGAAAAATTCTGATTTGTAAAGCTATCAGCGGTGTTAGTAATTTGATATCCTACTATTTTCTCTGATCTCTAACCCCTCTATCAGAGCAGACACTGTTAATCCCCAGTTATGAAGTGATTAAATGATGTAAGTTATTGTTCAGTAATTGTGGAAGAAAGGATTGATGTTAGTTCTGTCTCTTTTACTGAGGTGGTATTATCTGGCTCTGAAGTATTTGTAGCTCCTGTGAGTCTGAAAAAAAAAACCAAAGACAAACATATGCACATGCTCTCACACAGTTAACAACACAAAAGGTGGAAAGGAGGGGATTAATTAATTTGTTAAGAGTGTATTCCTTTGATTAATGTACCAATGATGAATCTGTACATGTAATGGTGCAGACAGGCTGAGATGCTCCTGGTTTTAATCAAATCATTTCACTTTTGGAATTAATTGGAGAAGAAAAGATAGGTTGCCAGGCAACGAAACATACGCCCACAGCAGCTAAATCAAATGGGCAGTCAACAAGAGTTGTCGCATATTTTTACTTTTTTTCAGTAATGAAACATTTATAATACACTAAAATCTGATCAAGAGTAACAACTCATTAAGTGATTATCAGAAAATCTCATGACCTTAAATTTAAAATCAATCGGATATTAACTTTAGCCTCTAGAACGTCCACAAGATTTTTTGAAGTGGCAGAATTATCAGAAATCGCTGAAAATCAATAGGCGCATAAAAAAGGTTTTGCTCGATGAGTATGCCATTCTCCACTGTTTTAGCATTTTATCCAGTGGTTGGTACAACAGCACCCTAATATTTGGTGGTCTGATTGACTGTAAGGTAGTTAATAAAAGTTTGCGGAACATTTCAATGCAATTCTTTTGACAGTGCATATAGTAATCATTTTGTCAGGCATGACCCTAAGTCTATGTCAATTCGATTAGCAGAAACATTGCTTGAAGTTAAACAGATATGAGATTGATTTGCTGTAGTCACAGACACAGTCAATCAATGCAATATAAGAAATCTGAAAAAGGCACACCTCTGTTAATTCCTCCATTTGCAAACTGTAGAGTTGCTTAATCTATAAAATGATAAAAATTTCAGGACAGACAACAAACAATAAAGATATTGTTGGGACAATAAAAATTTCAGCACTATAAAGAAATAAGTAAAGTACAGATGACTGACTAGAGTTATCTGCTCTTTTGTATGTTTAGTTGTTAATTCAAGTCCATGCATTTAAGTAAAACTGTTCATTGTGCAGCATTTACGCAACAAATATATGCCCACCAGCAACTTTGTGGTTTCCCTATGATAAATGGTTTCTTATCTTTAAAGCATTTGTGGTAACAGAGATGTGTTAATACGTCTCTGATGCAAAAAACTAGATCTTTCATCACGACACTTCATTTGTACCACTATTTTCATGGTTGTGATTTATGATGGGGGGGGGGGGACTTTGCCTAGATCCTGGACCTTACATACTGACATAACAAAAATAATTTGGAAGATTACCCATGTTAAGTTAAGTGCTCTGGTGTACTTTAGGAGGTATCTGCTAATAATATACTTTAAGCCACACTCAAGCTAGACTTCAACAAAATATCTCCAAATTTCTACTGAGAAAGGAACAATCCAAGCAAGTTGTATAACAAGGGAGCGGTTGTCTCACCAACAATTTTTTCAAAATCTTTAAATGGCATAATTATGATTGTCAACAATAAAGATAGTGTTAATAAGATTTTAAAATTGATTACAGCAGAAGCTTGTGATTATTAATAAATTTCAAAGAAGCCTACAAACTTTCCAGATATATCGTAGTTTAATCCTTTGATGTCAGATTTTACTTTGGGTTGTACCTCTTTAAGACGGAACTTTGTCCAACACCAGATCGTTTAGAAGGTGGTGGAACAAAGGCTTTCTTAGAGCTTACAGCAGGGGGTTCAGCCTGAGCAGAGGCTGGGGATTTAGAAGCTAATTGAACAGTAGGAGCTGCAGATTTAAGACCAACACCATACACTGAGGTAGGTTTTGATTTTGTGGGTGATTCTACTGATTTTACATCTTTTGGTAAGTGTCCTTTTGGCTCAGATGCAACAGTCTTGCCAAAAAGTGAGGATGGCTTCTGTTCGGGTTTTATTGTTTTGGGAAAGACAGAAGATGATTTTGGATCAGGTATGGGATCTTTAAAACAAGGAGTGGACTTCTGTTCGGGTATTATAGTTTTAGTAAGGAAAGAAGGTGCTTTGGGGTCAGGTATGGGAACTTTAGCAAATGGGGACGATTTCTGTTCAGGTTTTATAGATTTAGGAAGAATAGAAGATGCTTTTGGGTCTGCTAAAGGATCTTTAGCAAATGGAGACGACAACTGTTCAGGTTTTATAGTTTTTGGAAGGACAAAAGATGCTTTTGGATCAGATATGGGACCTTTAGCAAATGGAGATGCCTTCTGTTCAGGTTTTATAGTTTTAAGAAGAACAGATGTTTTTTTTGCGTCAGCTGGTTTTGGTTCAGGTGTTGGAGCTTTTTCTGTTGTGGTTTTTGATTCTGCAGATGTAACTTTACCAAGACCTGTTAACGGTTTGCTTTCAGAAGAAATCTTTGCAGCTTCAAAAGGTAATGGAGCAGTTTTGGCACTACCATATTTGAAAATTGCTTTTGGGGCAGTGCTTGCTAGCTCTACATCAGCAGTTTTAGAAATAACTGATTGTGGGATGGTAGATTGTTTGTTGGGTTTAGATGGTGAAGTATCATCACTCGGCAGTGCTGACAACGATGCTGAGACTTGTGTTTTACTGGGTGGTGAAGGGCCCTGTTTTTCAATGGGAGGACTAGACAATGGTGTTAGTTCTATTGTTTTACTGGGTGGCGATGACAACAATGGTTTAGCAGTTTTCTTTTCATTACTTGTATCCTCAGTCTCTAACATAGCAGATGTGTCGCCAGTTGTATAAATGGAAGATAACGTAAATGTTGAATCAACATCAGATAACGAAAATGTTGAATCAACATCAGATTCAGCTTTTGTAGTTAAAATATCTGACGACAGTATTACATCATCAGGCTGCAATGCTGTTACATTGGGCAGGTTAGTTAATCGTGTGTCTGACAAGGATAGGCTAATCAAAGGCGTGTCCGACGAGGGCTGTTCATCAACTTGGATGAAAGCCATTTCATTAGCAGATTTATCAACAATTTCAGCCGATTTAGAGTCATTGAAGACAGATGTTATTGCAGAATCTATGATATTTTGTGCATATTCTGAAGTACTGATAGGAGAAATTTTATTCTGATCATCAACCCGATCAGATGGTGGAAGGTAATTTACAATACCACCAACCTCACCAGTTTCATTTATCACTTGCCTGGAAGAAACAGGACTAGGTGATCGTTCCACAATCTTGCTATCTAATTTACGTTTAATATTGTCAAAGCTATCGACTCCCATGTAGTCCATTTGACCACGTTCCCAGGCCTGTTTTCGATCTACTTCATCCATATAAACAATAGATGGTCTACCAGCCATGACCTGTAAAGAGGCTAACTCTCCTACAAGTCCACCCTGCAATGATAAAAAATGTTTAAATTATATAATGTATTACATAATAAGATAACATAAATAAAATACATCAAATATTTTACAATAAATGTTATCTCTATAATTACAGTTTTAATAACATATAATATAAAGTGATCAGATATGATCATTTAAATAAAGCTTGCCAGGTAAGGTAATGTACGGTAATGTATATTTAGCAATAATCGTATACATCGTATACTCAAAATCTATGGGTAGGGTATCATCTTTACCCCGCAAAACATTAAATAAATCTAACTCTAGTAAGTGTGGACAGACAGATGCAACAGAAATATACAACCACATTAATATGTAGTTATAGAATAAATATTATAATTTTATAGAATAAAAATTATAATATTTATTCTATAACTACATGCAAATACAAGCAAATATCATTGAATACAGCCATTAAATAACATGGTTGTATTCAATGGCTTTGACACATACTACTTTTGTCCAGAAAGACGTCACTTTCAGAATTCCGTCAAAATGTAATGATGCCACCACTAGGCAACCACAATTTTTGTAAAAAAGAAAGAAAAGATAGGTTGCCAGGCAACAAAACATACGCCCACAACAGCTATATCGTCCGGGCAGTCAACAAGAGTTGTCGCATATTTTTACTTTTTTCGGTAATGAAACATTAATAATACACTTAAATCTCATTAAGAGTAACGACTCATGAAGTAATTATCAGAAAACCATTAGAATTTGTTTGATTTTTATAAAGTTCTGCCCCATGCTAATGTTTTGTATACAAAACTTTTAATATCATGGATTTAACTGTTCAAGTCATAAAAATTCATTGAAAATCAATATACTTGTTCGTCTCAAGATCTTAAACTCTGTGTATCAATCTGAAGTCAATCGGATGATAACTTTAGCCTTTAGAGCGGAAATTGTTGAATATCAATAGGATTCTTTGTCTGATGACCTTAAACACTGTGTATAAATTTAAGGTCAATCGGATGTTAACTTTGGCCTCTAGAGCGTCCACAAGATATTTTGAAGTGATCAAGGACCATAACTCTGGCAGTAATTATCGGAAATCGCTGAAAATCAATAGGCTTCTTCGTCTCAAGACCTTAAACACTGTGTATAAATTTAAGGTCAATCGGATATAAACTTTGGCCTCTAGGTCAATCGGATATAAACTTTGGCCTCTAGAGCGTCCACAAGCAATTGTGGACGCCGGACGGATGCGACGACAATATACGACCACATTTCAATGTGGGCGTATAAAAAGGGCGAAATCTATGATGAATTTTAACGTTATTGGTGATGATTTTTTTTGATAATCTGGATAGTACAATGTATTTTGAGATTTGCATGTAGTTATAGAATAAAAACAGAACTCAATGACCATTGAACACCGGTCGGGTTATTCAATGGTTCACTCGACTGTATCCCTTACGCAGGAATACACTCTCTTGAACCACTGAATAATCTGGGCGGTATTTAATGGTCATTGAGTTCTACCTATGTACATGCACAAACCATGGCAGAATGAGTACTGTAAAAAAAAAAAATGTTAAAACCTATAGCCTCTATTGGAGCCACGGTGGCTAGGTGGTTAAGACGCTGGCTTGCTAGCCTGGAGGTCGGGTGTTCGATCCCTGCATTGGCCGAGAAAGTTCATCTGGATTTTCCTACGTGGTTTCCCCTTAACAGTGGTGCAGAACAGAGGGCCTGACAAGGACAGCTGTCTAGTCTTTTGGATGAGACGAAAAACCGAGGTCCCATGTATACATTGGAATGCACGTAAAAGATCCCTTGGCAGTTGGAATTCGATATAAGAGTAGGCGATAGTGCCGCTGCCCGGGCAAAATTTCCCACATAGCACACTGTATGGCGTAAGCCCGTCTTCATTAGCCCAGTATAGGAGCAGAACAGTAGGACGTTAAACCCCATTTCATTTTATGGCTTCTATTGGATGCACAAGGTTTTTGGCAAAGGGGGCATAACTCTGGAACGCAAGGCTGCGGATTATTAATATCGATAGGGTTCATCGACTTCATCCTCTCATGACCCATATGCTTTCCATCAAAATTTGAAAAAAATCTGGTAAAACCTCTTCGTGTTCACAATGTTTTCGGAAAAGGGGGAAAACTCTGTAATTGTAATGGAATGAAATGGGGTTTAACGTCCTACTGTTTTGCTCCGAACTCGGCTAATGAAGACGGGCATACGCCATACAGTGTGCTATGAGGGAAATTTTGCCTGGACAGCGGCACTACGGCCTACTCTTATATCGAATTCCAACTGTCAAGGGATCTTTTACGTGCATGCTAATGTGTACACGGGACCTCAGTTTTTCGTCCCAACCGAACGACTAGACAGCTATCCTTGTCAGGCCCTCCATCCTGCATCACTGACAAGGGAGAACCACGCCGGAAAATCTGGATGAACTTTCTCGGCCAATGCAGGGATTGAATACCCGACCTCCAGACTAGCGAGCCAGCGTCTTACCCACTGTGATCCCCAACTCTGTAATGAAAAGTCATGGAACGCTGAAAAACCATCCTTTCGTGACTAATGCTTTCCACCTAATCTGAAAAACATCTGTTAAAAACTACAGCCTCCATTGTGGTCACAAGGTTTCTAGCAAAGGTGGATAACTCTGAAACGGAAAGTCGCAGAACGCTGAATATCGATAGGGATTGTCCTCTCAGTATCGTGACCCCCATGCTTCCCACTAAATTTGAACAAGAGCATCGCTAACGCTGCAATATATGTCCACATTCCAGCTTTGATTGATATGGTACTTTTTAAAATGAAGAGAATGAAATATGAAATGGCTGTAATATGACAAAGAGGCAAAGAAGGCTAGGCGTTGGGTTTGTTTTGCCAAATTTACAGACAAAATATTAACAAAAAAGTGGGTATGACACTGCCGAAGGAGGTCGGGGCATGCACAAAAATAAATAGTTGCTGTCTTTACGGTATAAGGTATAAATATGCAAAGTTCTTGTCCCAAAGCATCAACCAATGAAATTGATTAGCTCTGCTTAGCTTTAGCTTGAAATGTTAATCATTGAAATCAGTCAAGACATTCACCTAATGAACATCTACATCAGGTTTAAACATTCTACCTCAATTAAAAGCAGAGTTTTTATGTTCCAAAGTCTTGACCAATCAAATTGCTTATCACTCCTGAGCCTAAGCAGAAAATTTGCACAATCGAACTTAGTCAAGGTAGTGATATAATGAATCTATATTCAGAGTTTCATCTCTCTCACTTCATATAACCAAAGTTATTGTGCCCCTAAAGCATCAACCAATCAGATTGCTTATCTCTGCCTACCGTAAGCAGACAATGTTCATCATCGAACTCCATCAAGGGAGTCACCTAATGAATGCCTACACCAAGTTTGAACATTCTACCTCAATTAGAAGGAGAGTTATTGTGTTCCAAAGTCTCGTCCAATCAAATTGCTTATCGCTCTGCTTACCCTCAGCAGAAAATGTTCATTATCGAACTTAGTCAAGAGAGTTATTGTGTCCCAAAAAGTGTGACGGTCAGAAGGACGAACCCATTTTAATAGTTCCCTGCTTTCTTCGCAAGGCGGGGGACCAAAAAAAAAGGATGTGGCTCTGCCCCTGGGGGTAGGGCATGAACCAAAAACAATAGGGATCATCCTTCGGGTATAAGGAATAAGTATGTAAAGTTTCAAGACGATAAGTCAAGAATTGCGTCCTGTAGGCAACATACAAAAACCCCAAAAGAAAAGGGGCATGGCTCTGCAACTGGGGGTTGGGCATGTACCAAAAACAATAGTGATGATCCTTAGGGTATAAGGAAAACCTAAGTTTGAAGTGGATTCGTTAAGAAATGCGACCTGTAGATGAGAAATACAAAAAAAGGATGTGGCTCTGCCCCTGGGGGTAGGGCATGCACCAAGGGCATGTGCCAAAAACAATAGGTATATGGAATAAGTATGTAAAGTTTCAAGACGATAAGTCAAGAATTGTGCCCTGCAGTCAACATACAAAAACCCAAAAAGAAAATGGGTGTGGCTCTGCAAAGTTTCAAAATGATACGTTAAGAAATGCGGTCTGTAGACGACAAACAAATACAAAAAATGGGCGTGGCTCTGCCCCTGAGGGTTGGGCATGCACACCAAAAACAATAGGGATCATCCTTAGGGTATAAGGAATAAGTATACAAAGTTTGAAGAAAATCAAGTAATAATTGCGCCCTGTAGGCGACCCACAGACACACACACACAGACAGGGGCGACGGCATAATACGTCCACATTATGAATGTGGACCTATAAAAAGATCTGTCAAAAACTGTAGCCTGTATCACATTCACAAGGTTTTAGGCAAAGGAAAGTCGCAGACCCCAATGCTTTAAACCAAACTTAACAAGCCAACAGTGAGGCTGATGTACCCCGCCGAAATCCCAAAATAAATAGATGACACATATTAATTGATCCCACATTTATTTTTCAAAAGTTACAATCCGATATGCATGGCTATCGAAAGGAACCAAGATCTTTGGGTTATAAACATGTACCGGTATTTGAAGTCTCATCAAAATCAGATCAAAATTGTGGCCTCTAGAGGGTCCACCTACAACCTTGATATACCATATTTACGTACGAGGGGCGGCCATTTTGTCAGGCAGTTTTGGTCTGATTTTCACGAAATTCGAACTCCAGCATCATTACAGTGTAACATGATGTATTCAAACGTTTTTTTAAATTGGATAATAATTGTGACATCTAGAGGGACCACAAGGTAAAAAAACAATTTTTTGTACAATCAGGGGGCATAAATTCAGGAAGTTACGATCCGATAGGTGCAAATATCTCAAGGGAGAGAGAGAGAAATGGGGTTCAACGTCCACTCGACATAAACTAGGTCATTTCGGGACTAACACATGGTTCAATTTTATTTCAATAATTCGTTTGCGCGTAGGGGTCTTTAGCAGTGGGAGGAAACCGGAGGACCCAGAGAAAACCCAAGAGGTTGGACA